ATAACTCTATATGCTATGAAGCTTCTTCTGGCAGTGGTAGAAACAAATGGTGGTTTTCTGTTCTAAATATATCACCGGGTACTTTTTGGTGATTTTTTGTGTGAGATTTTCTGACACCACTGATCCTTCCACTGTGTTTTATAGGTAACAAGCAAGAATAAATACAATTTTAATTTCCTTGTAAAGTTGGCTTAGTACATGGCTGCTGTAGTTCGATATCACTACCTTGGGTTTTGACTGTCACTTTCGGTTTGCCCAAGCTCTAAATTCCAAGCAGCAGCACGTGTGCCACCTGGCGCCAGACAGGGCACTTCAGCTTTCACTTTGTTTGCCCAAGGATTGCTCAAAAGTTTTCTACCAAAGATGACTTCTACGCAAGTCCTACCCCTTTCAGGATTTCAGAGGAATGCTTTTCACAAACAAACAATTGAGTTGTCAAAAAAAAGAAAGCATGAATTTAAATTATTTGGCGTCAAAGCTTACCTGCTTTGTTTGCAGACCTTGAAATATGGGAACACTTCTCGGGCTTTCTTCCACCAAGGCTGATTGTCCTTTTCTACCATCAGGTTTTGTTTTTTTCATGATTTACCAAAACATAAAACATCTCCTGCTCTCAAATTCTGGCTGCCTTTTTCCTCAGAGAAAACCATAGCCAGCAGCAACACAACCCAAATCCAGTCTGATCACCCCATTGAGATGGATTGCTGAACCCAAGCACAAGCCCAAATCTCCTTTCTTGCCTCAAAAATAGATGAGGAGAGGGGGAAAAGAGTCTCTGAGATTTTGCAATGTCTACTTGTTCTACCCATGACTTCCTGAACAAGAGAGTGAAGGCTGGCACATCAGGCTATTGACTTTTTAAGAACCAAGAAGTGTTACAGCATTTCTCATTAAGTATTTTAAGTGTGCCAGGAAAAGCTGGTGATGGATAAAAGGTCACAGAATTGCTTCCTGCATTCACTGTGTCTCTCTCCATTCTTAGGGCCCTCTGGCATTATGGAGTCCCAACAGGAATGCTGGCATTCCCAGCTCTGGAGAAGGGAGAAGCCTGGTGACTGTCATCTGGAAATACCACCTCTGTGTGGCAGCTTCCAAAGGCATGTGGTTGCCAAGGCAGAAGAAATCATTCCCTGCTGCAGCCAAGCCTCCTGGCATGGTTTCCCAGACCAGCCAGGCAATCTCACTGCCCTGCAGGAGATTTTAGCAGGTAATAGGCACAGCTGCTGAATAGCTGCAGATCTTGGCCTGGATTGAGAGTCTTCTGTGCTGGTGTCATGGCAGGCACTGGTGAGCAATGCCAGTAGTGGGTTGAGCAGCGGCTGAGATTTCTGCTGACAGAACTACAGCAAAAAAACTTTAAAAACCAAAACCCCAAACCCCCCAACTTTCCACATCTTTCCACTTATTTGCCTTCTCTTTGATTGCTGTCAGTGTATCAAAGACTTACTCAGTGAGGTCTGTGTTTCTCAATTGCTCACTCCACCCCCACCCCCTCCACTCTCTCCCCCACCCCCCTTCCCCCGTTTTTCCCTTAATGACCTAAAAAGAGGAATAGTAAAGTTGTGGAATCCACAACTTTCACTTGGTTATCACTGATGTGCTCCTAACTGTCCTTTCCAATGGTCTTCTCACATGCTGTGCACACAGTTGATACCTGACTCTACAAAGAAAGTCAGGGCCAGGCAAAAACCCCACCACAGAGCACAAGTACACACTGGTCTGTGTTAGAAATTCTCCCAAGTCACAATTAACCCAGATTTTAATAAAATCTTTTGATCATTTTCAGCTACATTTCTGCCTGCAGATTAAATTGGACTTGTTCCCAGGTGGCTGTTCTAGCAGGTTTCTAAGCCCATTCAGCTCCATCTGTAGAAGAGCAGGCTTAGAGGAAGGTTTAGACCAAGGATGAAATAAAGCTAAAATGCAGTTGCTCAGGTGCCACTTTAACATATGAACATGGACCCTGTGTCCAAAGCAATGGGAACTGCAACAGGTTTTAAGGAGCTGAGTACCTGAGCTAATCTGGAATGTGAAACTTTGTCAGATATGCTCACAATCTGGTCACACCTGAAACAAAGGTCAAAACTGTGTGAAAAATGTAGATCTCCTGCATGTCCATTTATGAATGTGTAATAAATACCCAATGAGTGATAAGGCAGAAAAACAATACTTAATAATATCCAGATAACTAGACAGCTTTTGTACAGGCCAGGCCATCAGCTGTCCCATTCTCAAGAGTTTTCTGCTCAAGGCTGGATTTCAAACCAAGGGGATTCAGTGCTGCTGCTGCCATCCATCAACACAGAACTTCCCCCCCAGTTTGGCTCCTCTCCTGCATCAGCAGCCCACACTGGGTTTGCTATGTGCTTTGTTCCAGAAAGTTCTTCCTGAATCTCCACATCTCCCCTTAGGCAGCACTTGGGGTTGCCCAGCCTGAGGGTGGACCAAAGGCTCCAGCATCAAATCCTTCCATCCCCTCCAGCTTGTACCATTGCTCAATCCAGTTTACTGCTGGGTCTGTGCTTGGTGCTCCAGCAGCACTGTGAAAGAGAGATCTGAAGGATACTAAGAAGTAAAGACAATCTCCTGGGGAAAACCATCTCCCTCACCTAATTTTGGTTTGCCCACTTCCTTTGCCTCTCCAACTCAGTGAACCAGTGCTTGGGAATACAAATGGTGGAGTCTTGACCTGCAGCACAGAGAGCCCACATGGCAACCGCCAATCATCTCTCAATCATATACCTGGAGTGACAGGAACCTTGGAATGAGGTGCAACTGCAGGTGTCTTAACCCCTGGGACTGCAGGATGAGCTCCTACAGGCCAAGAGATTCCCCAGAGTCTCTGTGGAATGTTTCCACAGAGCAAGTCCTCAATGCAGGGGTCTCCAGCAAGTGGAGGAACATTGTGGGGGCCTGGTAGCCCTTTTCTCCCTGATCTGAGTGGCTAGGGGTGTCAGGGTTGTGCTGGGTCTGCCTTGGCACAAGCATGTCTGTCTTGTCACAACAAATCCCCTCTTTATCACCCTGGCCCCAAGGGACTGCTTTGGTTGGGGGAAAAATCTTGGCAGGGAGGTATGTCCCACAAAGGATGGGGGAGCACAACAGCCCTGTGGAAGCTGGTGTGACATCCCACTCACAAGACAAATGAGAACCTCCATCTGTGGATCAATACCAGGTTGGATCTGACAGAGACACTCTGATGGGGACAGGAAGAAGGCACCAGTGTGTTGCAGGGAGGGTCTGGCAGCAGTGTCCCATGCAGTGTGTTTTGTGAAGGTGCATAAGGCACAGAACAGTGCTCATCCACACTTTGGGACAGAGGCATGAATATGGATGATTTGCAGTGAAAAGGGAACAAGAAGGCACAGCCATAAGCATTGCACAGCACATCTGTAGGAGCCACGTGCTTATCTGTGCTTCAAGTACAATGTGATTCGCAGTGAGCTGGAGCAGGGAGAATGGCACCTCTCTGGAGCAGGGGCACAGCTATGCCCCTCAGGTGTAGGGGGACAGGGAAAGTGCCCAGGGACAGACACACTGGTCAGGAACAGGCTGCATGCAGGGACAGCCTCATTTGTCTGAGCCTTTTTTGGGTGCTGCACCCAGCGGTGTGGAACAAACTCCAGCCCTGGCAGGGCAAGACCTGACCCTGAATGGATGGGGGATGGTTCTGATCCTAGCGGTGCATTGTCCCGGCCAGTGCTGATGGTGCGGGTCCCGGTCACAGTGTAGTGTCCTGGCCAGACTCTGGTGATGCTGCCACTTGCAGCACAGTGTAGTGCACCAGTCCCTTGTTGGCCCTGGCCCCAGAGGACTGGAGTAAAAAGCTGCAGGTCAGCACTGCTGGGCTCACTCCACTGCCAGCACAGGGCAGCACTAGGCCCACAGTGGTGTCGCTGCCAGTCCCTGTGCAATGCAAAGTCCAGCCTCAGGCAGATGTGCTGGCTCTGGCCGTGCTCCCAACAGCGCAGTCACCCGGCCCTGCGAAGACTGTGCCAGCGCTGGCCCCAGTCCCAGGGCAGTGCAGTGCCCCGGGCCGTGCTGGCGATGCCAGCGCTGATGCCACCAGCGCAGAGACGAGCACCAGTCCCCGTCCTGGCAGGGCCCGCGGTCGCGATGGCACTGCCGATGCCGGTCCCGGTCCCGGTCCCGGGGCGGGGCAGCGCCGTGCCGCTCCTGTTCCCGGTCCCGGTCCCAGTCCCACGCCAGTGCGCTTCCCGGCACGCGGAGCGGCGGCGCGCTGCGGCGCCCAGCCGCATGTGCCGCCACTCGGTGCCCGGTGCCGGCTGACGGTGGAGGCGGGCCCGGGGCGGGCCCGGCGGGGCGGGGACGGCCCGTGGGTGATGTCAGGCTGATGCTGTCGGTGCGGCGCGCGGTGCATTGTGGGCGAATCCCGCCGCCCGCCGCGGCTCCGAGAGGGAGGATGCGCTCGGGGTCGGCCCGTCCCACAGCCGCAGCCGCAGCGCGCCGGGCCGGCGGCACCGCGCCCGACGAGCCGCACTGAAGGGCGTGGGGCATGCGCTGCCTGCGCCGGCCGCAGCGGGAGGCGCCGGCGGCGGCGGGGCCAGGTGAGCTGGGCCGGGCCGGGCCGGGCCGCGCCGCGGTGGGCACGGGTGGGGAAGGGAGGGACGAAGCGACCGTCCCGCTGGCGGCCCGCGAGATGCGGGACCGGGGACCGCACCGGGCCGGGCCGTGCCGGGGCTGCGCGCGGGGCACTGCGGGAGCTGTAGTTTGCCGCCCCACCCGGTGCCTCCGGCCGAAGGGAGAGATTCCCGCGCGCGGACTCGGGTTCCCAGCGTGCCCGCGGGGGTGGGCGGGCCAGCGGCGGAGAGACGGCCCGGTGCCACCAATGAGAAGGTGGGCCGGGTGGGGCGAACCAACTGCCGAGAGGGGCGGCGGGGAGTGGGGGGGCGGCGTGCCGGCAGCTGCAGTGCAGGGGCGGACGCGGCCACCTCCTCGGCGGGGGGAGGCGGGACGGTCCGAGGTGAGGGCAGGGCGGGGCAGGGCAGGGCCGGGCCGGGCGGGGCTGCCCCTCGGCGCCGCTCCTGCCGGGCCCGGGGGTCGCGGCGATGCCGCACGGGAGGGGCGGGCAGTAGCCTTGCTGTGCTATGCACGGCAGGGGCGGGGGGGCCCAAGCCCTGAGAGGCTCCGCCGGAGGGAGCGGCCCCGCCGGGTGGTACCGGGGGACGCTGCCGCCGGTCCCGGTGTCGGGCGGGGACCCAGGTGCGAAGGCGTCCACGGCCTTGTGCCGGGCCGGGCTCTAGGGAAACCCACGGCGGGTGTCGGCCGCTTCAGGAGGACATGTGCCGGCCGGGGCTGGGCACGGCATCCTGCCCGGGGCCAGCGGGTGCCGTCCGGCCGCACGGGAAAGCCAGCCCGCTCCGTGCGGCTCTCTGGGGAGGGAGCGCTTCTGCCGCGGTACCGTGGGATAACTCCGCGGTGTTCGGGTTTCAGGCAGGAGGCTGAGAGTTTCTCCTTTTTGGCGGGGTGGAAATGGTGCTCCTGTGTGCGTGCTGTGTCTCCTGAAGCTTTGGGGCTCAGAGTCTCCTGCTGTGGTGTCCGTATTGCTGGTGGCGCCCGAGCTGACATTGCTGGATGTGTCCGTAGTCGTTGTGCTTTGCCTGCGTTCCAGGAGAGGAGGTATCCGGTAACCTGGGTCTGACCCACTGAGGACTCTCGAGATGAACACCATGACCTTGACGTGCATCTAGGATTTAACAGGGAGCCAGAACGCTGCACGGAGCGCTGAAGTCATACTGTCACTCTGACAGCTACTTGCATGACAAGTTCAAGACCCACTGTGTGTTTTGAGGGGTGGGGAGTTCAATACCTGTTGGTATTTGGTATCATGTTTCTAAGCAGTTCAGACCAGGCCGGTTTTGAATTTTCTTGGGTTTGCAAGATGGTTTGATTGATAGAAAGAAAGGTTGCATAATTCTACCATTTCACATGGATTTCTTGTAGTGTCACTGATTTTAGCAATAAACTTCTCAATGAGTCACAACTAAAATTTTCAGCCTGGAGACTTCTTACGAGTGGAATTTAGCCTCCTGTTGTGGTGTGCCACAGAGTGTGCTAATGCTCCCTCAGCTTGTAGGTGCTGTGGTGCTGTGCCTGTACAGGTGCTCTGGCTGAAGAGCATCAGTCCTGTCTCATGAGTGTCTGTGTCACCACATTCCAGTGTGCTGCCTTCTTTTGAGAGGATAAAGAGGGGCAGAATAGGAATGATGTGTTAAAGTTCTGGCTTTCTTCCTTTGTGTGCCAGTGATCATCCAGCTCATAAGGAGCATCCTCATGGAGATATAGGTGGAATCACAAACTTTTGAGATTCGGTGCTCATGAATGGTATATGTGGTATTCACTGCTGTTACTGCTGTGTGCTTTTGTGCTTTGTGATAATCTCACTCCTTCAGGAGTAGCCTGTGTTCCTCTTCTATGGCAAAATCAAATATTGGAATCTCTTGTAGGACACCTTTATCATGCCTTGGGGGGGACACCTGCCTAACCTTTTTTTTTTTTTTTAATAGTCTTCAAGAAAAAAGTCAGATCCTTATCAATGCTCTTGGTCCTCTGGAAAGGAGTGTCTCTAGTGCTAGGAAATTTTCCATCACCCCCCAGCGTGGTGCTCATGGCCCATGTGTGGATTTCCTTCCCCCTCCATCCCCAGAGTTTGTTGATGAAGGCAAGAGGCAGCCTGCAGCTCTCCTCTAGTGGAAGCAGTTGACACTTTTTTTTCAAAGCAGGAATGATCAGACAGATCCAGGAAGAGCCAAATCCATCTTTCTAATCTATCTTCAGTGTGGGAATCCCTTCATGCTGTTTCTTGCTCTCTCTTGGAAAGATTGACTCATCACTTTATGGTTTGTCAGGTAGCACACTCCTCTCACGTGGGTCTTGCTGTGGGCGCATCTCTTCAATTGTGTCCTTTCAGTTTTTTGCCTTAGTCTTATCTGTATGTGTATCAATGTGCAGGCTCCAGGTTTAGGAGCACTTCCTCATCCTGGGAAGCTCCTAGGTTAGATTTGTTTGCCAAAGCTCCATAGTGACCTTCCAGTAACATTGATTCACTTTGAAAACAGAGCAGAGGACAGAAAATAGGCCTTTATGGAGGAATAGGTGTTCATAAAATCTTCAAGGACTTTGTAAACTTCCTTCATTTTTAAGGACGTGTGGGCTTCGTTGGTACCTTCTACTTTGAGTATTGCAAGGCACGGCCGAATATTTGTTGGAGTGATTGTGGAAGCAATTGCTAAGAAACTCTTTTAGCTCTGCTGGTTTACTGAGCAAGATACAGAGTAGATATAACCAGTGCTTCCCTCCCTTTCTTCCATCAAAGATAACAAAAAAGTGGGTATTCCTCTGAAACATCATGAAATGCCCTTAAATGTCATTGTGGGACACAATCCCATTGGAATAAACGTTAATATTTCTTTGAGAGGGAGGAATAAGGAAGGCCAGCTATAAGCCTTTAGCACCTCCCTCCCTAGTCCAGAGGAAGAGTGGGAGAATCTGTTGGGTATTTGTTCAAACTTTAGGAATGAGAGGTGAGGGAGATGATGTGGCTTTTACATGGTGCATCTGAAAATTGACACTCCCTTGCATGTAAGTGTTTGCCCAGCTATGAACGGGACAGTGGCAATCCTTGTTGGTCAGGCCAATCCATGGTCTTCTCCACAAAAGTGCCCAGTGCCTGTGGATCACACTGTGGAGAGCCACAGCAGTTATCTCCAAAAATATGGAAAATAATCTAGCAATGGCAATGTGTCTTGGACATTAATGTATCAAGTGATTTTTCACATGAACTTTCCTGTTTTTTTTGGAGACTGGGGGATACATCAATATATTAGACTCAACAGGGAAAATATAAAATTGCCACAGTAGGTTTTTTCATGGGATTCACAATCCCTTGGTCCCTTTTGGTCTTACCCAGTCCCACACTGTTTTCTGTTGAGCCTTCTCCACTACTGAAGAGCTTCACACATCGGAAAGGATCAATTTTTTGTAGTTGAGAAGGAAGATGTTGACAGTGTGATGGACTGTAGAGCTAATCAAACAAGATGTGTTTGGAAACCCTTTCCTTTTGGTGTCAAGCTGTGTCATCTCTAATCTGATGAACAATATGAAAGGAACAAACTGGATCCTGGGCTGGCTCCAAACAGATAGGTGCAAGGGAGAGCAGGGAATGCCTGTGGGCACAGATTTCCTCTTAGAAGAAATGAGGCATCCCAACCTTCAGAAAGAGATCTAGTGTCAGCTGTGGCAGATGGAAGTGGATTCCTCTCTGTCTGTGCAGCAGGAGATGTTGTCAGGCCCACTGTCAGCCCAGGAGCTGCCTGGGTACAAAGCTTTGGTGGCCTCCCAGTCAGACAGGAAAAGACAAAGGGAGCACTGATGTCTGGTGAAAAGGTTTTGATTACAGGATCATATGTTCAGTTGCTCAGGCCAAACTCCTGCATTGCTCCAGTTCTTTACCAGTGAGCAAGAGATGATGCTCAAGGAAAGGCTAAGAAGATGGGCACACTGTGCTTGCCCTGGTTACACCCCTTATCACCTTGGTGGTGCAGGATGCAGCTTTTCACCCTTTTTATTTATTGACCTGAATAATTTTTCATGTACACAAGGTGTGACTTCTGTACTAAGAGCACTCTGTTGTGAAACCTAGCTCTGAATTCTTATGTGTTTTCCTCTGTTTTAGCCAGCTACTAGTTTTAGAGAAACTTTAGTTTTATCCTGGAACATCCTAATTTCCAAGGCCTTTGGCCTGATACCACACATGTGCTTGTGAGTCTTCCTAAAAGCACCTTGCCTATCCTAATAGATCTATAAATCTGGACTTCTCCCTTGTGCCTGCCACTTAGTTTAATTTTTAATCTTCAGTCTTCTAAACATGTCTGTTGTGGAAGACTGATTTTCCCGATCCTCTGCAGAGCTCTTCAAAATAAACAGCAGCCAAAAATCCTTCATATCTTCTTTCTGATCTTTCCTTCAGTCTTTCTAGTTCTTTTCTGTCCATCATTTAGCAGACTGGGCTGGGTGGCCTCTCATCCCATATGGGTAGAAAATATGTAGATTTTATCCATAAGAATTCACTTAATTTCTTCTACATCATCAGGAAAAAACATCACTTGGAATAATTTGTACTGTTTTTGTCTTTTGCATACATTTCTATTCTAAAAACCTTCTGGTTTTAGAAGTAAGTCAGAATTAAAATGAAGTAGAAGTTGCACTGGCCAAAGAATTTTTTTTCTTTTGTTTTCTTTTTTTTTTTCTTTTTTATAAAGGTGATACATTGCTGTTCAACAAAGTGGGAATTATTTGTAAGTTATATTTAAAATTTCATCTTGGTAATATATCCTGATCTGCATGAGGAAAGTGAAGTTCCCCCTTGCCTCCTGTTTCCTAAAGGCACAGGCCATCTGTTCTCACATGACAAATCACTGTTGCTGCTTTATTCTGGTCTGATGGGGTGGCTTTACTATTACATTTTTTCCATTTAGCCTTGATACAAAATAATTTCTTTATCTCCTGTGAGTCTGTCTGTTTATTTTGTAGTATGTAGTACTCCTTCTCCCCTGGAGTGACCTGGCCTTTTTCTGTGTACCTTTTCCATGGAGCACTGGAGAATGTGCCTGGGTAGCTCCATGTTCATCCTTGAATCCATTCATCCTTGTGCCCTACCATACCTCTGAAACCTGTTGCATCTCTTTGTTTTTTTGGGTTCTGTTTAAATACCTTATAATCCTGAAACTCTTCTTTCTCTGTGTGTGTGTGATGTTTCTTCTAAAATTCATCCCATTTTTTCCCTGAACTTGTAGCTCTTCATGAAAATCTGTCTCCCAGCACCTGCTGTGCCACTCCTACCCCAGACTGATCTATAGCTTCTTGACATGCAGCTTAAATTCTTGGTACCTGTTCTGCTCACTGGAACAAGGGTATGGTGTAGCTGTGCAGCACTTTCACCTTCACGGAGGCATCAGCACAGTGCTTCTCTTGATTGGACACTCTAATAAATTGTCTGGCTTGTTTCCCTCATTTCATGAACATTACTTGTTTGCTTCCTGTAGCACCTCAGCCAGAGAATAGAAGTCACCTTTGTGGTGACATTGTATTGGGAAACTTAGACTTTGTGGTCTAATTATGTCTTGAATTATTTAAACAGAATATAGCTGCATTAGACTTCTAAAATTTACTAGTTTAGGAGTTGTGCAAGTAATTTATTGAAACTAACTGATTTCTTTACATTTTGTTATCCTTGGGAAAAAAAAAAATATCGCCTCAGGCAGAGTTCCTCCAGTGTTTTTAGGCAGAAAGGACTGAATCTTGTCATCTCACAGAAGGCCAAGAGCTTCCTGCTGTGGAAACAAACACAGAGCACAGCTTGACTGAAGCTGAAGTGGATCTGAGGTCTGCTCCTCTGTTGTGCTGCCACTTGCGTTTGACTGACCCTACAGTGAACCAATTCAGGAAGCTCTAAGCCAAGGAAATGCTATTTATTTATTAGGAAGAGGAATCATTTTTTCTGCTAGTACAGGTCACTGAGTCCATGGTGGCCCACTGGCCCATGGTGGAATCCTACACACATGAGTTCAGATCTGGAAGGAGAGAGGGGAACTGTTTCTCTTCGTTTCAGGCAGATTTTTCAATTGGTTTATTAGGAACCTGAAGCTGTGGATCCAGCATTGGGGTCTGTAGAATTTATGGAGTAATGTATGTAATACGGTGTCACAGTGCTCCCATTAATTCTCACCTCTCATTCATTAGCATCTAAGCACCCAAAATGTGATTTTTGGGTGGGTGTTGGGTTTTATGGGTTTTGGGTGTTTTTTTTGTGGTTTTGCTTTTAGTAAAATTGTCAGTAGCTAAAGTGTGCCTTCTTAGAGTGCCCAACCTGGGTCTGAAAAGAGAATCCACCATCTTTCTTGTTCCAGATCCTGACCTTAAGGAAAGCACCCATGACAAACTAATTTGCAGTTCTCAGGTTCCAGCTTGTAGCAGAAAGTGAGCTAGAATGCCAGAGCTCTTCAGTTTCTTAAGTTTTCATAACAGGGAGGTATTTCTCCATTACATTCCCTTGCTTTTGGGGGTTTCTTTTGGGCTAAGTTCCATGCATTTTAGAGAGTTTGGTTTTCAGGTGGAAGGCACCTTTCAGCCTTTTCTTCTGATTCAGGATTTTTAGTAGCCATGTGGCATGGATTACTGGACTCTACCAGTCTCTACTGTCTCTCACCAGTAGGCAAGTACAGAATTGCCTACCTTTTTTTTTTTTTTTTTGTGCTTCTCTCTGTAGCAATGCTCTGCTCTGTGTGCATGACCTCTATGGCTTATTCATAGATGTCTGCGTTTGACTGTATTAAGAAGCATTTTGTTGAAGATGCCCTTTTTTCTTGTTGCTGTTCCCCATTTCTATGAAGAAATAAGGAGTGGTTGCTTCTCAAGCAGAGATAAGACTTATGGAGCTTTGTCCATTGAGCCAGCAGGACAACAAAGAAAATGTAAAAGGTGGAAATGCAAAGGGCAGGTAGCCAAGTAGTTTGTCACTCTTGTGACAGTTATCTGAGGGAAATGACAGGAGCCATTTGGTTTCCAGGGCTCAGAGTTATCTGGTTGCATAGGTCCTGCAGCCTCTTTTCAAGTCTAGTGGCAGCTCAGGATCTGGTATTTCTGGTGTGCTTGTTGCTTCTTTTGCAAAACACATTTTCTTTAACCTTGCTGCCCGTGTTTCTGATTGGGATGAGATTATATGCATCTTTTCCCCTTCCAAATATCCCAGGTTGGACTTGAACCAGTAATTGTTCTGTCTGTGGAGTATTTATTATTAGAAGCATTCACCAGGAGCCAGCTTACTCTGGCAGAGCTGAGCATAGAATGCACAATTACTCATTTCAGGTCGAGATAGGTTTGAAGAATTGCTATGAGCATTGACCAAGTCACATACAAAATTTACTTTTCCAGTACTTTACTACAGCTATGAATAGAAAATCATTTTTACATTAAAGTATGGCATAAAGTTCATGATGCTTTTTAATAGAAACAAGTTCTGACCATATTAGTTCTGTAATAGCAAATTCTCTGAATCCAGTTACTTGGCATAGCACTGGAAAATTAAGGATCAAAGTATAAATGTGGTTTATGTTGATGAGTTGGTCTAGAACATATTTTAAAGTTTTGTTGGAGGCTTTATTGTTTGTATTGGGGGTTTTGTTGGTTTTTAGGTTTTTTTCCCTGACACAACAAGCTGGTGTAAAATCTGATAGCAGAAGAAGGCATATGCCTCAGTCATAGAACTGCTTAACCCCACAGATAGGAAGATTCCTGGGTGGGAAGCAACTGTTGGCATGTTCTGGGAGAGTGCAGGCAGGTACTGACAGTTGTGAACTAGAGGGCATTCTCAGCACATGTGGAAATGGCTTTTATAGAGACAGTTCTGACCAGCTTGTAGAGCTCTCCAAAATCTTGTTAACACCCTTGTTCCTCGAAAATTGGCTCACACAGCAGTGCAGAAAGGAGTGAAACAGACCACGCTTGCACATACAAGAATTTTTGTATCTTTTACTAGGATGTTCTTGCATAGACTAAATACCAGTGCTGGAAGCAGTGCACAGACTGTGAGGGTGCAGTATCCCAGGGATTCCTTTGTTGGAGGCTCTTCCTCAGAGGCACCAGCTTGAGCTGTTACATCATTGCTGCACCAACTATTTTCAAAGGAAAATGAGTTGACATCTGTGTGGACTCTCGGTGTGCTTTTGGGTTGGGTCATGCAGCAAGAGTCTTATGGAAAGAATGGGGGCTTTTCATATCAGCAGGGAAGAGTGTGTAGTGGAGAGGAAATATACAGTTTGGTAGAATCAGTACAGTTACCTGCAGAAATTGCTGTGATGCATTCCCAGCCCACACGAAAGGCACTACGGGAATCTGTAGGAATTACCCAGCCCAGTACAGTTGTAAAGGCTGTGGCCAGGCAGCCTCTGGGACAAGGTGGTGTTGTGGCAGTGACTAGAGGCAAAGGCCAAATTTCATAGACTCCAGGACTATGTATAAGAAGGACTGCTCAACAGAAGAAGAGAGACAGGGGGAAAAGTGGGAAGCAACCCAAAATGTTGATGGAGTAGGGACAATTGAGGTAAAACTGATTCTGCCAAAGAAATATTTAATCACACCAGCTGGATGGTTTCATGAAAAAGCTCCAGGGGGAGCAGAGGCAATAGCTAACAAAGCAGAAGAGGTATGGATGGCTCCAGAGAATCACAAACTCTCTTTAGAAGGTGTTTGGCTAACAGGAACTTAAATCCCAGTGGTGTCCAGCTTACTGGATGCATGTGAACACTTGATCCAGTATGTTTTCTATATCCACAGAGTTCAAAGAGCAAAATGTGCTCAGTGGTATCCATCCACTCCTTTTGAAATGCAGGTACTTTATATACAGCCTGGAAGTGAAGTGTTAATTAAGGCATTCTATAGGAAATCCAAATTAGAACCTGTGCAGGAGGTCCATGTACTGTTTTGTGTTCCTAGTTTGCTGTTAAAGATTTAGGCAAGGAAAATTGAATGTGCCATTCTCACATCAAACAAGTAGTGATGATCAACCAGTTGATAAATTATTGGCTCCTGAGAATGCTTCATGATATTGTATTGGAAATCACTTAAGTATTTGTGCTCAGGAATCTATAACCTTGGACTTTACCCTGTGATAATCTTGTTAGTTTCAATTCTGTTGAGTTTGTTACATAAGTGGCAATGTTGTAGAAGGACAGTGGTTCAACACCTCAAAATTGTTTTCTTTTTCCTTTCACTACATTAGATTAATTAAGATAAAGCAAGAACTGTTGAGGAACACACCTTGTGCAGGTAGCTGGGCAGCTTGTGCAGCTACAGTGGGAGCTGCAGGTTGTGTCCTGGATGGCAGGGAATGTCTGGAGGCCCAGGCAAGGGGCCATGAATTGGTGCCACCCCTTTGCCAAACAAAGGACATGGGGAAATATAGGGCTGACTGTCTCGTTCATCCAGAGAATCTCTGGAACCCAAATAAAACAGGAGAAGACCCCAGACCAAATATCCCCATTTGCCAAGAGGCATGTGCAAGGGGCACCAAGAGCATGACAGGAGCACAGCCTGTAAGGGCACAAAAGTCCAGTGGTGCCAGTGTGACTCCCAAAGTCCTGAGTCCAGAGATCCTGAATGGTCAAACAGGAATGTTTCCCGAGCCAGCTGTCTGCAGACTAAAAGGGGATGAGACAGGAGATCAGAGAATGAAACTGTAGATTTGCAAGCAGCAGAGGAAGGATGAACTTGCTTCCCTGAGCATGCTCCAGCTAGGGGGAAGAGTTCCTTACAAAAATGGGAAGATGGCTGTGGAAGGGTTGTAGAGGGATTATTTAAGTGACTAACAGTTGGTGTGATTTGTCATGTTTTTGTCAGTTCCAGGAAACCTTTTCTGTGTAATAACAAATATAAGATCTGTTGTGATTAGCATTGGGCTTGAAGACTGAAAAAATGTTGTCCCATTTAGTCCCATTCAGGCTGATATGACATCAGTGCAGCAAGTGGCAGTTGCCCCACTTATGCTAATTTTTATTATGAAAGTGCTTGGTAATATGAAGTCTACATGGTACATCTATAAATACATGAATTTTCCTAGCAAAATACCCTGTCTTCCAGAATTTGAAACAAATTATGACATCTCTCATCAGGAAATTACTCTAAAGAACCTTTTGACAAGTTCATTTAATACTTGATGGTTATGGTGACTGCATCTATCATAAAAAATTTTGAATGGGTAAGATGAACACAGCTTTCTCTGGAATGTAGGTTTAAAAAGTTTGATCTTAGGCTGTGGTCCCTTTAATAATCTGATATAATAGGTTATAACAAGACCATTGAGCAACAGGTGTTATCAGTTTGCTGTGCATCTGAGTATTTTTTTCAAGATAAAATCCTGTTCTTCAAGAATGAAGACTCAAGGAAGTTCCTGTTGACCACTCAGAAAACTGACTTGGAATGGCCATATTTGATGGAAGATGAATAACAGCTTGTGCACAAAAGCAGAGAGAAGGGAGAGGACATGCCTGATGGGACATTCTGCATTACCTTTGGATCTGGTCACACTCTGGTCCAGGACCTGATCCTGACCCTTGTGTGTCAGGTGTAGGTTGAGTCTGATATCACAAGTACAACCTATGTTTAGTTCTTGCTTTTGTTCAGATATATTTGTTTTGGCTGCCAGCAGACTAATCAAGCTTTTCAGTAGTGATTTATATT